TCTCTGTGGTAAAAACTGTAAGCTGCTGCTCCTGCTTGCCCAGTGCAGTAGACATCTGATGATAATGGCTGTACCTACAGAGACCCATTTGGACCTCCACTTGGAGAGCTTCAATCACTTTTGGATCACCTCGATTTTGAGCTTAAGGGGTTCTCTGCAGATACAGCTTTTTCTGACCATGCTTTTTATCTATCAGGGTAGAGGTTCCCTCAGTTTTCAAGCTGAGGATGCAAGAAAATCCCGGATTTCTCTGGTTTGACTTCCCATCCAGCTTCTCAGCATCTCATTAGCTCTTTTCAGCCATCACTGTGGCATCTGTCCCTACCCTTCCTTGAATATGTCAAGTCTACAGTCTCATCTTCGGCTTTTCCAATTTCCAAATAGTTTTCCAGGACATTTGAAATAATAATTTGCTTCCTAGCATGGGCTGGGTCACTGCCAGCAGCACTTGATATGCATTACATACACCCGGACTGGTTATGCTAACCCAGCCAGACACTTACTTAGATGCTGGTGATAACTTCCAGTTATCCATGTTTAAATCACTGATGAAGAATAATTTTTTCAGTAATATACTTGCATTCAGCCTATTTCATTAGCCTCACTAATATATTGGGATAGCAGCAATTTATTATTCCATTGCATCTCCTACAGCCTGGGAATTTGGCTCTTGTCTCAGAAAACAGAAACAGTTTTGTTCTTCTTGGAAGAGGCCACATCTGTGGTAAATGTCCCGGGAATCTTCACATGCCAGCCTCTAGTTCACACTGCTGAGCAGCACAGGAAGGCAGGCAATTCCACCTGCAAGGTGTGGTCCTTCCACAGGGCAGCCACAAGCCTGAGCTAACACCCTCCAAAAAGCTATATGGAGTGCACAGCGAGTCCTCAGTACCAGCTCCTCTGCTCTGTAAAAGTAATCCTATTTGACCATACTATTTAATAGTGTAGACATGGTTGTAGTTCTAGAAATATGGGGAAATTAAATAACAGCACTGCTTTTCAGATGGCTGCTTCCTTTCTGTCCCAAGAGTGTTTTCACTCTGAAAACTTCTCCCAGTTGAGAAGGCTGGGAATAATGATCACAATTTGACTTTCTTTAATAGGAGCTTTGATAGGAGTCCACTGTGGTTTAACCTCAGTCAACAACCAAGCACCACACAGTTGCATGCTCACTTCCCACTGGTGGTTTGTGGGAGATAATCAGAAGAGTAAAAATGAGAAAACTCCCAAAGAACTGAGATAAAAACAGTTTAATTGGTAAAGCAAAAGCATGGAAAGCAAGCAAAGTAAAACAAGTAATTCATTCACCACATCCCAAGGGCAGGCAGGTGTTCAGCCATCCCCAGAAAAGCAGGGCTCCATCACACATTACAGTGGCTTGGGAAGACAAACACCATTACTCCGAATGTCCTTCTGTCCTTCCTTCCTTCTTCTTCCCCCAGCTCTACACACTACATGACACCATATAACATGGAACATCCCTGTGGTCAGTTGGAGTCAGCCCAGCATGGATGTGTCCCCCCACAACTGCCTGCAGAAGGGGTGAGCTGAGAAGCAGAAAAGGCCTTGGCTCTGTCCAAGTGCTGCTCAGCAAGCAGCAGATAGAACATCCCAGTGGTGTCAGCATTGCTTTCAGCATAATCCAAACCACAGCTCATACCAGCTACTATGATAAAAAATGGACTGAATTCCAATCCAAACCAGCAGACTCAAACACACATACAAGGAGTCATGATAGAAGAAAAGATCAGACAGAAAAACAGCTCTCAGTTCATAGAATCACAGAATCACAGAATCACAGAATCACAGAATCACAGAATTTTTTTTGGGTTGGAAGGGACCTTAAAGATCGTCTAGTTCCAGCCCCCTCACTATGAGCAGGATGCCTTTCACTTGGTCAGGTTGCTCAAAGTCTCATCCAGCTTGGCCTGGAACACTTTCAGGGATGGGGCATCTGTAGGCAACCTGTTCTAGTGCCTCACCACCATCACAGCGAAAATTTTCTGCCTAATACATAATCTAAATCTTCTCTCTTTCAGTTTAAAGCCCTTCCCCCTTTTCCTATCCCTATACGCCCTTGTAGAAAGTTCTGAATAAATAACACCAGCAAGAAAAACTTTACTCAGAGGGAAAGAGAAAAACAAATTTTCAGTTCTCATCTGAAAGAAGAGCTGCAGAAGGGAGATGGAATGTAACCACAAATGAAATCAGTTTCTAGGGCACTTGACCTTTACTGGGTATTATCAACCAAGATGAGAAAGAGCCTGAATAAATTCTGGGTCCAGTTTTTTTATTTTCTGTACTAGAAGTGCTGGTAAGTCAGTCAAATCATACACACACACACACACAAACCCTTACATCCATACACACACTCTGGAGTGAGTTTATTCCTTACATGGCTTTACTGTGTCTCTTCTAACCAAGCAGGCAATAATATTTACATTGGGTGGGAGCTCCCCAGGGAGATCCATGCAAATTTCCTTGTCCAAGAGAAACTCTCTGACACTGCCTAAACTAAGGCACTGGAAATGAAGGCCTTGCAACTTCTTTTTCCTCGACTACCAGCAAAAACCCTCCTAGGTAGGTAGAGCCGATTCTTAAGTAACAAATGTAAGAGAACATCTGCCAGCAGAGCCAGGGGCGAGCCAAGGCACTTGCTGTGCACGCCCAAGTGCAGAAGCAGCGTCCCAGCAGATGAAACCTGAAAACCTGCTGACATCTACAACAAGCCAAACAGCCTCGGGATTCCTGGCGGCAGAAAATCCCTTCCTGATGTCTTCCTTTGTGAGGGCCACTGGGCCCGGTTAACACCCGGCGCTTGGCCGTGTTTCACAGCATCGTTTGTAAGGGCGCTTGTGTAATTTCTTAGTGCCACCAAGTGGCGGAATTTCATTATGCCATTTTCCAGAGCCGCTTCTGACCAGCGAGGGAAGCGGAATAGACATCTCCGTGCCAGTAAGAGAGCAAAGAAAGCCCCCAACAGTCTAAGGCAGCAAGATTTCGGAAGTGAAAATGATAATAGGTGTTTTCTGTTTCAAATGTTAAATGATCCAAGTAGGGCACAACTACTACAAATGGAGGAGAAAGACGGCTTAAGCATATATTTAATTTTAAGACCATTTGCTGGCATATCTTGCTCATCAAGTGTGACTTCCAGAGCTGGAATCAACGATACTGGTAATTAACTCAGAGAATCAGTGGGTGGAAGGTGAAGTTTCCAGTAGGCTGATGATACGTTCTGTTAGAATTTAATGGGAGGAAAAATATTCACCTCTACCCAGTACAATATAACCACGAAAAATTGCAAATCAAAACAAAGATAAAAAGTCTTAAACCATACTAAACCTTGGCTGCAGGTTCATAAAGCACTGAACACTTTCTGTAAGCATATGAACTTTACCAGGAGGTCACTATGGCAAGCAGCAGCATAATGGAATCATTTGAAACAAGTATTTTCCCAACCTTTTCAGGTTTCTTTTGAATTTACCTGTAAATAAAGGGAAAAGTGGTATAGATCTCAGTGCTACGTAAAATAATCTCTCGGCTGATTTTCTGGCCTGGTTTTTCTTTATGTTTTCCTCTAGATATAAGGAGAAATAAACATAGATACATTTCTGGAACATGAATTTATATTTGGAACATTCTCCAGATGGAATTATGTAAAAATAGCTGTTTGCAATTTAAAAAAAAATATAATATCTCTAGTGTTTTAGTGCAAAGGCATTGCATCTATCAAGCTAACTGTAAATATTGTTAGTATCAGAGAAGGAATCTCCTAGTATAAATATT